TTGGGCAAGGTGTTAGAGCGGGTGATCGTGGGACAACTCCAGGCACTCTTAGGTGAAAGTGATTCTCTGGAGCCATTTCAGTCCGGCTTCAGACCTGAGTACAGTACTGAATCTGCCTTGGTCGCCCTGTACAATGACCTGTGCAGGGAGAAAGACAGGGGGAGTGCATCCCTGTTGGTTCTCCTGGACCTCTCAGCGGCTTTCGATACCATCGGCCATAGTATCCTTCTGGATAGGCTAGCAGGATTTGGGTTGGAGGCACTGCCTTGCAGTTGTTCTTCTCCTATCTCAATGGCCAATTCCAGAAGGTGATGCTGGGGGACTATGGCTCTGCGCCATGGCAGTTATGCCATGCAGTATCGCAGGTATCCATTTTGTGCCCTCTGCTATTCAACATCCACTTGAAACCGCTGGGAGAGGTCATTAGGAGGTGTGGGCTGGGGAATCATCAGCACGCTGATGACACCCAGCTCTACCTCTCATTTTCAACCAATCTAGGTGAGGCCGTGGCTGTACTGAACTGGTTCCTGGCCAAGGTAATGGGCTGGAAGCTCAATCCTGACAAGACGGAGGTCCTGTTGGTACGTGGATTGGGCTTCGGGGAAGGGGACCTTGACCTTGTCCTGAATGGGGTTGCACTCCCTCTTAGGGACAAGGTCCGCAGCTTGGGAGTGCTCCTCGACCCAGTGCTTTCCCTTGAAGCTCAGGTGACAGCGGTGGCGAGGAGAGCTTATTTTCAGCTTCGGCTGACCCATCAGCTGCATCCCTACCTGGAAAACGGCTGCCTGGCGACGGTGGCACACATGTTGGTAACTTCCCGATTAGACTTCTGCAACGTGCTCTACATGGGGCTGTCCTTGAAGACGGTCCAGATACTTCAATTGGTGCAAAGTAGAGCTGCCAGGCTACTGACGGGGACTGGGCGTTATGTTCACATGACTTCAGTCCTCCGTCAACTCCACTGGCTCCCCATTAATGTCCGGACCCAATTCAAGGAGTTGGTTATTACCGATAAAGCCCTTAACGGCTTGCGTTCTGGTTACCTAAAGGAGCGCTTATGTCCATACGTGCCCTCCCACTTCTTGAGATAAGCAGGAGAGGCCCTTCTCCGGGAACCCACCGTGAAGGATATTAGGAGGGTAAGTACCCGGAGGAGGGCTTTCTCTGTGGTGGTGCCCAATCTATGGAATGCGCTCCCCAGAGAGTTCCGCCTGGCGGTGGAGTTATATGTTTTTCAGCGCCAGGCCAAGACCTTTTTATTTAAATGGCATTTTAATTGTTAGCTTATTTATTGATTTTACATCCTTGGCCAGGGCGTTTCCAATTATATTGTTTTTATATGATTATATGTATTTATTTATTGTTGTAAGCCGCCCCGAGTCCTCGGCGAATGGGGCGGCAGAAGGCCTCCGGTCGAGCCCTCGCATCCTCTGCATGACTGGCCAGATCGCTGCGCAGAGCCCCAGCGAGCCGCCGCCAGCCAGCGGCAGCAGCGGGAAGCCTGCCCGGGCCTCCTGCCCCTCCGCCCTGGGGACCAGCCGCGCTCGGCCGCCTGGGCTGGCACAGGTGTGCTTCACTTCACTTCATTTCGCTTGCCTTCGGGGCAGCCTCGGCACCAGTGCGCCCCGAGGGAGCTGTGGGCGCAACTACGCAGGAGCCGCTCCGCTTTCGCGGAGCCTTACAGGACGACTGAGAAAGCACCGGCTCAAGCGGGAGGGGGCTCGTGGCAGGCTGCCCGGTGCAAGTGCCCCGGCCGTGGCTGCTGGAAGAGGCGACTCCGCATCGCGTGAGCAGCAGTGCGAACGACAGACTGGGGCTCAGGGGCCCCCCTGGTGAAGCTCTCCAGGGCCAGTCCGGCGCTGGAGAGGAGGCAGGCAAGGGGCGCCGTTTTAAATCATTCTGGCTTCCTCACCCTACACCACTTTATTCATCTAAAACATGCGCGTACATCCCGTTCCTTACACCACTGTAAGCCATTGAACACCGAAGAACTTCTGAAACTTGAAGTAGCACACAGCAATCAGAGATATGAATGATTTATTTGACAGGGAAATATAAGTGATCTTATTAACACCTGTACTGCTTCATATGAGGGAATTCTGACTCATTGGTTGGAAAGTGAATTAGCTGGGAATTCTCCAATGAGTGGGAGTGCGAGCTCATATTCTCCTGATAAGGTGATCCCGGCTGTTCAGTTCAGGCTTCAGCAGGATGATGCAGCATTTGGGGAGGAAGATACAGCCCAGCAGGCCGGCCCCCGAGGCCAGGATGGAGAACACCTCCACAGCCACCATGGCCTTGCCCTTGGTGCTCAGGAAGGTGGGCACGAAGGACACCCACACGCTGCAGAAGACCAGCATACTGAAGGCAATGAACTTGGCTTCGTTGAAGCTGTCAGGTAATTTCCTGGCCAGGAAAGCCACGCTGAGGCTGACAAAAGCCAGGAAGCCCATGTAAGCCAGGACAGCGTAAAACATGGCAGCCGAGCCTTCGTCACATTCCAGGATCATCTCTCCCGCAAAGGAGTGAAAGTCCACACTGGGGAAAGGGGGGGAAGTGGCCAGCCAGGCAGAACAGAGGGTGGCCTGGAGGAGGGGGCACACCAACACGATGGAGCAGGGCAGTGGTCCCCCCACCAGTCTCCTGGCCAGGTGTCCTGGCTTGGTGCCCATGAACGCCAGAACCACCGTCACCGTTTTGGCCAAAATGGTAGAAATGGCAATGGAGAAAGTTATGCTGAAAGCAGTTTGGCGCAGGAGGCAGGTAAGCTTGTTAGGTTGTCCGACAAATAGAAAGGAGCAGAGGAAGCAGAGCAGGAGAGAGGTGAGGAGAACGTAGGTGAGGCCCCGGTTGTTGGCTTTGACGATGGGCGTGTGGCGCTGTTGGATGAAGGTTGCCAGGACTAGAACCGTGAGCAGAGAGAGGGAAAGAGCCAGGGACGCCAAGACTGTCCCCAGGGTCTCCTGAAAGGAGAGGAAGTGGACCATCTTCGGGACACACTGGTCCTTATTCTGGTTTGGGTGTTGATCTGCAGGACATGCCACACAGCGATCAGCATCTGTAATGAGCAAGAATTGGAAAAGCATCTCCCAAAATCACAGGATACCTTCTTTGGGTGGACCCTTAAACCCACATTCAATGAAAAGAACAAATATAGACATGTCATTGTTTGAATGTTGCTTTGGCAAGCAATCCATCTATTCTGCTCCCCAGGCTGAGAACAAAGGGGAGCTCCTCTTGCTGTACATTTTACAAAATTCAGTCCTTTGACTTTCCCTTCCTGGGAGACTGGATGGAGGACAAAGCAGAATCAGTGGAGGAAACAATTTTGTGCTCACAGCAACAGCCGCCCTTCTCTACACAATGATGTGCAAGGCAACTTTGGCCGTTTGTCCCTGAGGCCCTTCCTAAAGTGCTGAGGACCAGAGGGCCTAGGAGCACCTCCAAGGTGCATTCCCGGCTGTCCCA